TGAATGAAAAAAGTCAAAATGTTAAGTACCCAACTTCAAGTTTTCAACTCAAACTTTTCTTTATTTTCTAAGTTTCTTCAACTAAGACTATTTTCTCACATTCATATTTAAGGTAAATTACTCCAGATTGTGCCTTTGGTTCCTAGATGTTTAATTACTTTCATCTTTCTTTCATCTTGAACACCCTTTGAAATGTTCAGTCTTTAGAATATGATTTATGTGGTCTTAGCACAATTTCTTACAGTTTCTACGTGTGTTCCTTGCAGATCAAGGGGTGACTTTCTTTTTGAGGTTAGTATAACATCTAAATCCTTTTCTGTGATTTTTGTTTACAATAAGTAATTAAAATTGTTATCTTTCTTAGTTTATTTATCTAATCATGTTTATTTGTCAAAATATTTTTATTTATTTTATGGAAAGTTAACAACTTCAACCAAACATGAATGAAACATAGTGAGAAGTATCTTGGTATGGACACAACTCCGTTGGATCTTAATTTTTCACAAGTTAAAATTAATTTTTTATGAGTAAAAAGAAATTATGTATAAACTAGGTTGAAGAAAAACTTATGCATTCCCTATGTTTGTAAAGAAAAAGTGAAGAAAGAAGAAAAGTGAATTTAGAAGCCCTGAAATAATCATTGTCAAGAGCGTATTCTTTGCCTTTAATTATATTATTTATTTTAGGATGTTGTGCAATTTAATTTGTTTATATGTCAAAGACAAGAGCGTCACACTTTTGTTCTATCTTGCTACTTTCTAGGCCCTTTTGCTTAAATTAACACTCACCATCAAATAGAGTAGAAAAATAAAAAAGGAGTAACAAAATGGTTTCAATATATAATTGAAAAAAAAAATGGTTTCAATATAATGGGTTGACTTCCATAATTCCTCTAAATAAGTTTAGTTATTCTATGCAACACTTTAAACAGTATAATTCAACATGCATAATTTACTAATCCAGGAGTTAAATAAAAAATTGAGTTGGTTTCTCCCTTTTGTTTTGATTTGTTGAGTTGACTCATTATTCATTTAATTTTTATTTATTGATATTAATTTATTCATTAAGACATATTTATGAGATATTGTGAATTTATTATATTGTCATTAATAAACTAATTTATAGCTGTGTTATAAACTTAGTTTAATGTTATATAAACTTATATTATTATTTTATTGACTCGTGAAGAATATGTCCTGTTGAATTTTAATATTTTGCTTTAATATTAGTCTTATAACACTTTTCCCCCCTCTTTTCATAGTATTTGATCATAAAATTTGAAAAAATATAAAAACAAATAAAATGAAATTAATTTAAATTTTTTTAATGGGTTGGCAAGCTAATAAAACTGTTCTAACCTAATTCAATCTATTCTTTAGTAAGTTAAGTTATCCTGTTTGACATCTTATATGAAATTAAAAAAAAAAAACAAAACAAAAGAAGAGAAACGCGAGTTTGTCCGAGGGAAATAAGAATGAAAGATTTAATTTTTTTTTTTCTGGAACTCACCTGCACAAGTTTATTGTTATAAGATGATTTATGTGCAGAAATTCTCGTTTTTACACTTTTTTCTTTCTCTTAAATTTATTTGTTATTTATTACGACATAATCAATTATGATTTATATTAATGTAATCTTAGTTATAAAGTCTGTGATAAAATACAAAGGTCCACATAGTGATCTTAAAAAACTATGTTTTACATTATTGCGTGTTTGAAGATAAATAAAGGACCAATTTGATCTAAAATAAATACTTTTTCTAAAGGAGTTAAAACAATATTTTTTAAATTTAAAAATCAAATTAAAAGAAAAAATAACATAAATTGACCAATAAATTAAATAATGAATAAAACTGTTCCTAGTTTTGATAATAAAATGAAGGGAAGAAAAAAAAAAGAGTTTTCTACATGAATTCTCCATGAATTCCCATGGTAGGAAGGCTACTAAGTTTTGGTAATTGGCTTTGGAAGGGGATTTCAAGGCGTGTGACTAAATTTCTGTTTAAAGAAAAAATAATAATAATTATTTTGTAAATATTTTTCTTAGTTATTAAACATAATGATATTCTATACTTTTTACACTTTTAAGACATTGTATGCTTATTTGTAAGATTTTATTTTTAATTATCGAGAGAATTCGGAATAAAATAATTATTTTTATTTTAATGAATTTCTTAAAGATGTATGATGTCTAAAATAATTATTTGATAATACAATTTTTTTAAAATTATATATTTGCAAATAAAAGAAAAATGAAAGAATTTATTGTCATTTAATTTTTTTAATCACTAAGATTGACTTGATGGATGAAGTTGAACTAATATACTCATATTCTGAGTTCGAATCCTAAAACCATTATTTTAATTATGATGGATAAAAAAAAATCAATCATGATATATTTTAATTTGTTTAGGTGTTTTGTGTGTTGACACTACAACACAAATGATATTTAGTATTTAAAAAATGTTACTTAATTATGTATAAATGTTGCTAATTTATTTTAGCAACATATTATTAAATGTTGTATATAGTCTATGTTGCTAAAGACTTTTAATAACATTTTTGCATAATTAGGTAACTTTTTTTAAATGTTACCAAAGTAGTATTTTTGTAACATTTTAATAATTTTTTGTAACATTTTAATGATGTTGCCAATATTTTGTTAATCTTATAAAATAATAATTAATTTTAATTTAAATATTACTATCAATTATTATATTTTTATGTCTCCTAAACTTTTAAGAGTTCCTTAAGTTTTTAGGGAAAGACATTTTTAGTTAGTCACCACTAATTATATATAGAATATCAAATTTTATTTATCTTAAATATAACTATATGAGTATATATACTCTTTATAAATCATTAATCTATTCGATGTGAGACTTTAATTATGGGTTACAATTAGATATAAGAGAAATATACTTTTTTTGACTCGATGTGAGACTTTGATTTTAGAAGCAATTATAGTAACATTTTTCAAAAAAATGTTGCAAAATAACTTATGTAAAATTTTTTTACTCGATATGGGACTTTGATTTCAAAAACAATTAGAAAGAATAATATTGAAATAAAAAATGTTACTCTATCTATAATGACATTTTTCAAAAAAGTGTTACAAAATAACATTTATTTAATATATAGTAACATTTTAACAAATATAAACAAAAAAATGTTACTAAAAGATTAAAATCTAGTAGTGTGATATTTTATATTTTCTTTAACACTCAACAACTCTACATACGTCATTTTTCTTGTTTTAAATTTATTTTCTATTTTTTAAATAATATTATTTTTATCTAACTTTTAATAACATTTTCATTATATAAATTTCTTCCTTTCTATGTTTAGCAATAATATATATCTAGTTTGCTTAGGTCACATCGAACTAGTTTCATAATTTGACAGTTTAAGTTTTAATTTATTAACTTGTTATAAATCTTTGTCTTTCATGTTTAACTTGACCTTTACGCAAATTTGATTTGATTAGTTTATTTTATATTAATTATTTAAATAACTTGATAGACTTTTTTTTTTAAAGTAAGTCAATATATACTTGTGAGACAATGAGTCTATCATTGAAAAGACCAATATATTTATATTTATATGATAATGGATGTATCACTAAATAAATCATAAACTTACATGTTAACATAATTATTACACCAAGCACCGTTAAAATCTTTGCATTTTATAACCATCAAAACTAGCTCACATAACATATATGGTGCTTTAGTTGTTCAAATAATAATAAATATTTTATAATATATTAAAACATTTATTTAAAATTATTATTAATAAATAAGTCAGACTATCATATGTAATAAGTTAATTTTTAAAACTAATGGTATGACCTACTTAATTATATTTTTTTTTTTGAAAAATTTAGGCATGACTTTTTATTAAATAGGTTGACTTAGCTCTCAACAAATGACTTTCTCTACTTTCACTTTGATTAAAAGAAATAAAAGATACTTTAATAATGGAGTGTATAGAGGGGAAGAAAATTGAAACTAAAAAAACTTAAAATAGTTTGATTAAAATATTTTTAATATTATTTTGAAATGTAAATTTGTCATTTAGGTATATGATTTTTCTCATGATATTCTTTTAAATGTGTGCTCCTTCCATGTTGATTCTAACTTGCCAAAAATTTCAAACTCTCTTAGTTGATTACTCATTGAAGTCAACCCCTATCTTGACCACTCTGTTTGTACATTCAGGTAAATTTCTATATTTTATTACATGGTGTCTGATATTTTTGTGCATTTGATTTATAATTATATGATATTCTTTGTTACATGGTGTTTGCTAAGGGTTCAAATAACACACTGAAGATAAAAAAAAAAAAAAGAATTTTAAAATTATCTCGTCTCTTTGTAAACAAAATAAAAATAAAAAATAGTTTTTCCTCTCCTTTCTATCTTCTATCCATTAAAATTTCTCCCCTTTTACTTCTTTATGTTGTTAAATCAGATAGAATGTCACAATAAATCTAAATTAAACTAAAAGCTAAAATAGAATTCGAGTCCTAATTTTTATTTTATTTCTTAAATTATCTACATCAAGTTGATCTTTTTATCAAATTTTAAAATTAATTTGATCAAGTTAGTAATAAGTGACAAGTTAAAAGTATGTGATGTGATTCGAAATTAATATTGTTAGAATAAATGATCGACTGAAAAATCAAATTAATTATTAAAAATACAAAGATCGAAATAATTTTTTTTAAATTTAAGAAATTAAATGAAAACCCAAAATAAAAATGAGATAGCAAAATTTTCTATTTTAGCCTGAACTAAAATTAATGCGATATTTTACTCTAATGTTTTTGAGAAAACAGAAAACAAATTAGTACTGTATATTAATTTTAGGCCACAGGCAGGCATGAAGAAATTAAAAGAGAAATTGTAGAAAGTATATAATAATAAAGAATAAACCAAATTCCGATTTCAAAACGACCTTTAATTTAATTCCACTGTCTAATCAGTAATCAGCCCCTGAATTGTCAGAGTGTCAACCTTATTCCTCTCAGTCTCTCACTGTTCTCATTCCCTTCACCAAACCCATTTCAATATAAATACTCCAAACTTTTGAACCGTTTTCCATTCATTCATTTCCATCACTCACACCCCTTCAAAGATTACACAACACAAACTGACATAACATCCTTATTTTCATCAAATATTTTTCATGTTTCTGTGAAGACCCAACAACAACAAAATCAGGTAGATTAGCCATGTCAGATGATCAATTTCAAGCGAGTGGAAACTGGTGGGAATCAGCAAGAAACGTGAAGTTCGAAAGTGGGGAATCACAGTCTTCATCTTCTGGACTCACCAACATGGGAAACTATGGTTGGCAAAACCATGACATGGCAAGGTCTTCCTCTGTGGATAACTCTGCCTCAGGTGGTTCCACTGTGGTTTTCCATGACCAGAAGCAGCTTCAGCTTCAGCATCAGCATCATCAGCATCATCATCATCATCATCATGACTCAGCCACCTCCACCAATGACCCCAACTTGCACATGATGGGCTTGGGCCTCTCATCCCAAGCCATGGACTGGAATCAAGCATCTTTGCAGCTGTAAGTGTAGTCTGTGTCAAGACAAAGACTTTTTCACAACAATAAAGTAATACCCAAAAAGAAAGAGAAAAGAAAAATAAAGCTTTTGGATTTTTGTTTTCTGTTTCTATTCCCCTCCTCTCATTCCATCTTAGCTGAATGGAATAATATTCGCCAAGGTTTTAAATTGTGGCCACCGTCACATATCACTAGAAATTGAGACAAATGGGATTGATGTGATTGTAATTACAATAGTAGACAAAAAAAAATCTTGATGTCATAACTGAAATTGCATACACAGACTAACAATCTGATGTAATTGCAATTACAGTTACAGACACAAAAGAAAGAAAAATCTTTATATTATAGTTGAAATTGTGATTGTGAACTACGAAGTTGATGCGGTTGAAATTGCGGGGACTAATTTTTTAAACCTTGATGGAAGAAAGAAAGGTTGTAATTAACTTATGTTTGTGATTGATACAGGAGAGGTGAGAAGGGTTCAGATAACAGTTTCAGGTCGATGTTGCAAGAGAATTTGAGCTCACCAGGGAGCAGTTTTCAGCAAGAGAGTGGGAACAACAACAATATTGGGTTGTCTCATCACCATCATCAACAAGTTCATTGGAGGCCAGAAAAGTTGTTCTCTGCTGAGTCATCAAGCAATGATCAATTCAAGAGGGGTTTCTCTTTGGACCAAACACAGTTCAGTAGTCCTCAATACAGCTCTGGGGACAGCACTGTCACAAGCCAAGGTTTGCCTTGTTCTTTTCAGATGGACTATGTTGGCAACCCTTCTTCAATATTGCAAGGGCTTTTGGGACAAGAGAGCAACAACAGCAGCAACAACAACAACAACCAACCCCACCAAGGTGCTGGTGCCATGAATTTTCCTTACTCAGCTACTACCTATGGATTAAACTCCAATATTGAGTTGGTTCCTTCTTGGTCCAAAGTTCCTCAGTTTCTGAGAGCTTCACCACCAAAACAACAACCCAATAACCAGCTGCATTTCACCAACAACGCTCCCTTTTGGAACGCTAATTCTGATCCTGCTATCAAGGATGCAAGATCCAGCTTCATCCCCTCGTTGCAACCACCCTTCTCCACATCAAACTTCGACGTACAATCAAAGGTATTGCTTAACATTTTTGCATACTTAGGTATAGATATACATGTAGTTAAATAACATCATCATGATTATTAATTAATATACTTTACACCTCTAAATCTTCTACCTTTTTCTTAGCCTTTACATTTAATAACAATAATGCATACATAATGTTTACACTTAATTTTATTTCAACCATATGCACAGAAATACATCTGTTAAAAGATTATTTCTTAAATAAATATATGTTAAAAACCTAACTACCCATTTTAAATAACTTTTTTGTTCAATTACATTTTTTTCTTATCAATAAGATTTATACTAGATTAGTCTCTATCTAAATTTACCTAAAATAAAAAAATAAAGATTAAGTAGAGATTAATTTTAAAATGAATGTGGTATTTTCTGGGATAAATACATAAATAAATAATGAATTTTGTATATTATTTAGGGTTGAAATGATGCACTACTGCATTTGATGAGGCCTAAGTTTTTAATTTTTTTTTTTTTTAAATTCTTTCACCATGGTTTTGCAGAATATATGTGATGTTAGAGACTCAGGTGGTGTGGTGAAGAAAAGTGGGGGTGAGCCAGCACCCAAAAGGCCGAGGAACGAAACCCCATCTCCTTTGCCAGCTTTTAAGGTACAATAAGTGCAACTAACCTTTTAACAAGAAGGGAAGCTAGCTTTAAACTTTTTATCTTTAATTTCTCCATCTTTTTTTATTCCTTTTCAAACACTTTCCTTTTCTTAATATTTTTCGATTTTTGAGTCCATAAACATTGGATATGAACCCGTAGTGTACCTCTTGTGTTGTTCTTAGGTGAGAAAAGAGAAGATGGGGGACAGAATCACTGCACTCCAACAATTGGTTTCACCTTTCGGAAAGGTGCATGAGCTTCTGATAAAAATCATCTATTCTTTTCTAATCTCTTTTGTGGATCACCATGATTTCTTTCCTCTGTGGATTTATGATACACGGGAAAGCATTAAAAAAAAAAAAGATGATAGCAAGTGTGATTGTACTAATGTCGTTGTTTTGTTGATTTGAAGTTTTAAAATCTGTTTGCCATGTTGTTTGTGTATGTCAGACTGATACAGCGTCAGTGCTCTCTGAAGCCATTGAATATATCAAATTTCTCCATGAGCAAGTCACCGTAAGTCCCATTAAATTCCCATAATTAATATATTCTTGTTCATAAAGCTTAAAAATATTAGTGAAATTTTTATCTTATTTATTTTCTATTCTTTTTTATAGGTGTTAAGTACCCCATATATGAAAAGTGGTGCTCCCATACAACATCAGCAGGTAGGACACGTATATTATACATTCCCTTTTCTTGAAAAATAACTGCAAAATGAAACTGAATCTCTTTACGTTAAATTTTTTCGTGTTATTGTTATATATGTTGAAATTTCATTTGTATTTATGAATTGAGTTTTGATATACTATTACCATAAAATTCTTACATTAAAATAGAATATAAAAATTGATTTACCAAAGTTGGATTTAGTATCAGAATTCACTTTCATAATTTATTATCATTTTAGAAGATGATTTGTAATGTTGAGCTAGGATCATAATTCACTTTGTTAATACTGTATCAGAAATTAGATATAGAAATGAATCAAGTTTCTTCCATATATAAGTGCTCAATTTATATTATGATCTTATTTTCTTCTCTTGTAAGAGCTAGGTTATGAAATTTAAATGCGAGTGAATCTATTCTTATATGCACAGAATTACTATAACTATACCATGTGTTTAATGCTTATAATGGTTCAAGTTGAAGACTTTATTACATTTATAATGTAATTTTTGTTGGTGATTTTTATTGCAGAGTTCTGGTAAATCAAAGGAATCAGAGGGTCCAAAGCAAGATCTTAGAAGCCGAGGGCTATGCTTGGTGCCAGTTTCTAGTACATTCCCAGTGACTAATGAACAACCATTTGAATTTTGGAATCCAACATATGGAGGAACATACAGATAGCTAATTAAATATTAATGGGAAGCAAAAGTGGCACGGAACCAGTACTCTCATCAACTAGGACATAATGTCTTATCAAAACCTAGCCAAGTTGGGAATGATAAGATCAAAGAAACAAGAGAGAAGACAGCCACATAAATATGTAAAGTTATAGTTAGTTCTGCTATTTAATAAAAGGATATAGAGGCATGCACAATGATGAAGGGTAAGGTATAATTTGGCAAATTTTGGGACCATTAGTATATATATATATATATATATATATATATGTTTAAGTTGTTGTAATAATTGAAGAATTAATTACATATGTGCACACAAGGGGGTGTGTGTGATTAGGATCAGTGACAAATTTGAGTTGCGGAAAATAGGGAAATTGTGGTTCTAATTAGCTAGATAGAAAAAAGGAGCTTTGTTAATTTCTTCTTCTTATTATATACTAGCTAAAGCTTTGGTTGAAGCAAAAGGAAAAAAAAACTAATTTGAAGGAATCATTGAAATATAGAAGAGTGAGTGAGTGTGGGATATGTCATTTGATTGGAAATCTCACTTTTGATTTGTTTATTTCTTTAGAATATGTAAGTGGAAGTCAGAGGGTGGCCCACACTACCCCTTTCAGTTTTTGTTTCAAAATTGAGTTCAAATTTAATCAATCTTATATATATATTTTGGAGATGCTTGCACACATGCTTTTGTGCTTTGTAATGAATGGTCACATAGAGGGGCTTCTATTGGAAGCACATGTAAAAAGAAGAGAAAACCCACAAATGGTTTTATCCCTAGCAAACTTCTCGAGATGGTCCTGATTTTAAATGACGTGTGCACACGTAATTATTCCCTTTATGGTTTTATTTCTAAAAGAATTAGAACTACCCAGGAAATTTAATTGTCACATAAATAGAAAATTTTGAACTCAGATTATATAATTTGTTATATGGATATGACGTTAGTACGTATTTGGATTTGCTCAATGTATAGTTTTTAATTTTTGGGAATTATTATTAAAATAATCATTTTCTCAAAAGTTAAAATGTTTTAAGTGAGTGATAAAGATTTTTTATATATATATATATATATTTGAGAATAAGAAAATTCAATAAGTTTTAATAATATATTAAGATTATTCCACTCATTAAAGGATAATCAATTAGTAAATATGTACTTAATTAACTCATGATATATTTGATTAGGCTTAATTTTAAAGGGGTAATTGTTTTTGTTTTTTTAAAGAAGAAAGTTACCAGGAAAATAATTATTTCTTTTAAAATAAACCAATACTCACCTACTTTTTTGGTTGATATATAACTAGAATATCTATATACTATTAAGTATTAAGTGGTGGTTGGGTGAGGATTTTTGTTTTGCTTTTTAAACTGACATATAAGGTTTAATACAATGTAAAGAAAAAGGTTGTTAGGGATAAGGCCTGATGATATTCTTCTTTTCCGTGTATTATAATAGAAAATTTGAGACATAATAACAACAAATTTCACAAGGGCACACTAGAGTGGCATATTATAATCTCATAATATTAAATTTATAATCTTACTAGGTTGGCATATCTTCAAACCTCACCACTTTAATTACTTGTTATGACTTTAAACTTATTGGCCAGAGAGTATTATAAACTATTTTGTCTTGGGCCAGGGAGAATTTCCCCTTCAGCTCAAAAAGCACTTTACCAAATCTCACTTTCAAACTTCTCTTGCAAGATCACAACATAAACTAATTCAAACATTAAGCATTTTAAACATTAGCCATTATTGTGTTAACAAAGCTAGTCTGTCATGGGGCTCCACTTCATATTCAAGTCTAATTGCTTTCTACAAAAATTTGTCTTCACTAGAGAAACTGTCGTACATGATTTAACTAAGTTTTCAATTTCAGGGTTATCTCATCATCAACCGGAGTTTATTTAATTAATTTAAATAAATTATGTGAGGAATCTGCTATTCCTTATTTATGTGGAAAGCATTTGGCACAAAGGTATATAGTTTGGAAGAAGTTAGAAGTGAATAAGAGATATGGGAGGGGACCAGCAATAACTGTTTTCTTAATTAGTTACCATTTTTATACTTCTCCAATAACATTAGAGTGGGGTAATGATTATGTATAATAAGGTCCATAATGAACCATATATCAAGCACATTCATTTTGAAAAGAAATGGTATTTAAATATATAGTTTTTCTAACCGTTTGAAGGGCATCTTTAGTCACCTTTTCTCATGAATATGCTACTCAAGAGCAATAATAATACTAATAAGTTTAGTTTTTTTGATTATTTTGGGGCTGTTTTGTTCTTTAGCGGGTATAAGAAATATTGTTTCATTGTTTTTAATAATTTATGTCTCATAATGGTAAAACATGATTGCTAATCAATGAATTTCGTAGATACCAGAGTACATGGACCAAAAGAGAGAAGGAATAGAATCTTCAAATTATTTGGGCCTATGTCAATTTTCTATAGATTCCATAATTCCTATCCCTTTTATCAACTTTTTATGGCATCCATTGCAACACTTGAGACATACATTTGCTTAACTTTCACTTCTCTACTCTAATCATGTATACCATTTATATAAGCACTTGAGCAGAGAAAAGAGCAATAAGTTCATCTAATCACTACGGCGCTGAAAAAGAAATTATTTCAATAATTGATAATAGATATAATCAATTATGGTTATAATTCGTTATATGAATAAATTTTATATTTGTATATGTTAGATGAAAATTGATTTTAAGATATATATTTTTCTTTTTGAGAAGAAATTATGGGTGGGAATGACTCTCTGGTCTAACGTAGAGAAACTTTCCAGACTTAGTTCTTAGAAAAGTAATTACACTTATTTGAATTGCCTAAAATAATTTTTTTTATATATATATACACATAGTAAAATTACAAAAAAAATGGTATAATGTTATTTGTAATAGTTGATTATGTATTTACCAAAAAGTTGTTTCCTTTGTTAAAATTTAGAATAATAGTGTAATTTGTTTTTATATTGTTATCCATTTATAAATTGTTATGCATGATAAGTTTGTTGATCTTTTCAATAGCTATCTTAAAAATGATGTATACCATGATTTGTTATTAGTGATTGATTAAGTGTGTAAAATATTTATACCGACAACGCATAAAAATTAAACTCAAATTATAATTAAAGATTTTAATACAAAACATATGCTTGAACAGTAAGTCAGTAACTCCATCGAAGAATAGTGTTAAGAAAAAAAAAAAATCTAATCCAAACATGCTCTAGTGATACTACAAGTCCACAAGCAACTTTTCTGCAGATTCCATTCCAAGTTTTCTGAGCTAGTCATGTGTATGTCTGGTCTACTTCATCATGTTTGAAAAGGACCGTGTCATTGGAATCCAGGAAAAGAGAAAACAAAAACAATAGAGAAGTTTTCTGCTGGAATTCAAGAGAGTGGCTAGTTTAGCTAGTTGAGAAAAGATATGAGGGTAGGCAACTTTTGCTAAGAAATGGTGGAATTGGATGCTACAAAGCTAGAAGTAGAAAATTGGACACAAACCAATGATAGGAAGGGAAAAAATGCACAAGAATACGAAAAAGCTTTGAGAATCACATGACACTAGATTTTTTTTCATATCAAAGGGAAAGAAAAAGCAATGTGTATCAGAATATTTCTCTTCTTTGTGACAGCTGCCTACTTATGTCGCATGGACTGTCTAATCACAGTATTGTTTCAATTATATACAGATGTTTGTGCATAGTTTTCCCAAAGAAATTTAAAGAATAAAAAAGAATTTACAAATATTAAATCATGCCTATATTTGTAGGTTTAACAAGGACTTGCAATAACAAGTGATGGCAAAATTAACCAAAATGAATCTGCTAGAATTGGAGGAAGAATTAAGGTGCTATTTTCATTAATTGGTAGATATTGAAAGAGACAAATTAAACTATATCTTAGAATCAATTTTGACTTTAAAAATTATGTAACATTATGTGTAATGAAGAATATAAAGGTTTATACATCATGGTAAAGTAGGTTTTCCCTTTTCATGTAAAACTAGCTTTGCTTGTTGACTTGTTCAATTTGACACTGACTGCATTTTCTTTAGGGAACGTTTGAATAGTATATAAAAACCAATAACCAATAACTAATATCAGTGTAGCTGAAGTGATACATATCCAATTATAGCATAGGGGCTGTAACTTTCATTTTAAATTTGCCTTTGTTTATTAAGTACTATCTTTCCAATGAGCTGAGGACAAATTATTTGGCTTTCTGTATATACATAGAAGCATATTATTGACTAGTTTCCTCAACCATGCAATTTTTGTCATGTCTTTCTGTATATACATATAAACCATGCCTAAAACCAAAGGACAAACAAACATTACATTAGCAAATATAACTGAACAGTGTATCTACTATACAGAGAATTTGCTTCTGGAAAAAGAAATTTTCAAGCACAGAGAATATAACTCAATATGCTCTATTATGTATAGTAAAAATTGGGTGAATATCTTCCTTTAGCTTCTTTGAGATGGTGGCAATACAAATCCCTTGGTGGAATGCTTGCTTCAACTCGTACTCAGTTGGCTGTCTAGAACCATCACCACAATAAGTTCCTGCACCATAAGGACTTCCACCTTTCACCTCATCCATCTCAAACATGCCAGTACCAAATGTGTATCCTATTGGAACAAATAGCATTCCATGATGAACCAGCTGAGTGATAGCAGTCAACCTGTCATAGATTCCACATCAATTTTCTTATCATTAGTGCATAATGGTAAGATATTGTTCAATACGTGAGTCTACATATATCATTAAATATATAAAAGTTATCAAAAGAATTAACCCTTTTGAAGTGTTCTTAAAATGTTAAATTTCTTTGAATTGTTGACATGCCATAAGATATGTGCTTTGCAGTGTATAGATACAAAAGTCTTGCTTCTGTTTTTATGGCAGGTCAAAACAGAAATAAGAAAAAGTTCAAGTCATTCTCTTCATGAAGGAATGTGTACTTTCATATTATAAAAGAGTAAATATCCACTTTGATCTCTAAATTTTGAAGCCACCTTCGTATTAATCCTTAAAATATATTTTTTTCAAATAAGTCTTAAAAGATGCAAATTGACAATCACATTAGTCCAAAACTAAAAAAATGTGATTAAAGTGATAATATTGATATATATTCAAAGACTAAAATGATAATAAATAGTTAAATTTAAAGACTTATTTGACAATTTCTTAGTTTTAGAGATTAGTATGACAACATCTACTAAATTTAGGGATTAAAATGGGTGTTTACTTTATTAAAAAATGTTTTGTCCCAGAAGTCATATCATATATAACATCACATTATTAGTAAAGAAGATTGCTTTTTATATTCTTAAGAGAAACCCTTTAATTTCCAACTATAAGAAATCAGTCATGATCATAAGAATTATTAAGAAACTAAATTGAGATAGAGGGTCATACGGTGTAGTCTCTTGTCCACCACCTTGGGAACTGGTGCTGTAGAAGATTCCAGCAGGCTTGGTTGCAAGCATTTGTGCTATCCATAGATATTGAGCTGAATCTAGAAAAGCCTTAAACTGAGCAGCCATCATTCCAAACCTTGTTGGAAAGCCAAACACCAAACCATCTGCCTCAGGAAGTTTAAATGGGTTAATGATTGGTACATCACTCTTGGGTGGTGCTCTAAGCCTAGCAAGCTCCTCAGTTGAAAGTGTCTCAGGTACCTGCTCATAGTCATTAAATTCAGCACTGCATCTTCTTTTTCCATAGAAAGAAATTAAAACCAAATGTTTACTTCCCATTCACAAAAGCAATAAAGCAAAACAGAATTTTGCATTAGGAAGACTTGCTCTTAGAGACTTGATCCTGAATCATTGAATGTGTTTCCAAATTAATTTCAGTCACAAATTTTGTTACATCGCGTATTATGGCATGACAAATTGATTTTGGACCTAAACCAAACTGGCACTACAACATATTGAAAAACTAAGGACATGAAATTACTAAAAATAAGTAAAGGCTATGGAATCCTACTGCCATGAGACCATAGTAAAATATGGTTATAGTGAAGGAACCAAGCTAACTGATGAATGTTTGAATCTAACTTTGTGAAAGTCAGATCAGATGGCAATATTAATGATATTAAGAATCTGTTGGGTAAATTTTTCTAGAAACATTTTAGAAGAGAAAAATAGGAAGGAAAAATGAAGAAAACTTCTGTACAAACTAAAATTAGCTTATCCATAAGCTTATTTGTAAAAGTTTTCTCTTATTAACTTCTCTAAAATCTTATTTTTAACTTGTGTATAAGCTAGTTTTAACTTGAGCAAAAAATTTATTTTGATTTTTCTTCCCATCTTTTTTTCTTAGAAGTTTTTCTGAAAAAATTTATCCACCCATATCCTAAGTTTAAACCATTTATAAGCCTAAGGTAGAAACACTGCAGCTGTGGCAATGCATGCAGATTATTTCATGAAATTTAGCTGCTACATAGAGGCACAGAGGAATAAGGCTTAGCTCTGGAGTTGTAGTTGCTTACTGTTTGCAATTTTATGATACGAGTAAATAGATTGCATAAGATTAAGAATTGTGATAAATGAAATAAACATACATACCTGCCACAGTTTTCCTTCAACACCCTCTACAGAATTAACCCCGAGCAATATTTCCCTCGCTAGTCTTTCCACATGACCATACATTGAGTAATACCTGCAAAAAAAAAAGAAAAAAAAAGAATATTTTCGTTTTGTAAATGATCTTTATACTAATTAACATGCTCAATAATTCATTAAAGAGGAAATGAAGATTACAATAAGAGAAGGTAGGTAACACAAACGCCAAAGTTATACTTTATCAGTATATAGTCTTCGAAAAACAAAAGTTAAAAGGAGAAATAAAAATCAAATAGAAGTAAGATGACTGCTATATTTGCAAATCACTGTAGAAGAATTTATATTTTTTTTAGTAATGATATAAGTACAACAAAATTTTAGTATAATTTATACAATATCACTTTTTATATCTATTTCTTTTTATCATTTCATTTATTATATTTATTAATGATGAAAAGATATAGACACCGATTTTTTTTTTCTTTTTTTGTATATCATTACTTTTCCGAATTGAATCTAACTCTAGTAGCAGCATTTCGAAGGTTAACTTAATAGCACAAAATCACATCAACCCAACAATTACTTGTGCTCTATACTTCCTTTAAGCTTTACATTTCTTTCATGTAGTGATCATTTTTGATGAACAGAAACACACAAACACAAAGAGTTCAAAAGAATAACAACTTTTATATGTGCTTTGATCATAGAAGATGAAACAAACCATTGTATCGTTACAGAACAGAAGAAAAAACAGAGGCAGAGGAAGAAAGCATCATATCTGTCAAAGTTATCCAAGATCTTCAAAGAACATTGGAATTTGAAAGACTTCAAATTTAAGAACCCATTGAAGAATTAAAAGAAACCCATAGAACAAAATTTCACATTGAGCACCATGCATCATGCATGTTAGAGAAAGATTAACAAGAGTTATACTTAAAGTTAAGCACACACGTGCCACACATGCACAAAGAAAGGTTAAGAGTTGATCATACACAATGTAAACTTTGACAGCCATTGATGATCGTGCAAGTTCTCTTCCTCTCTCGTTGCGTTAGAATTCTTTCTTGGCTAAACGAAATGAACAGTTAAAAGTTGATGACTAAAATGGCGGGAATTGCAAGCCATATTTGTAGTCGTTATTTCATTTTCTTTTTTTCTTGAGGCTCTATAGATGAAATGAAAAGGTATGAAAATAGTTTTAATTTTTTTCTCTTAAAAAAATAATATAGGATAAAATATATTATTGGCCTCAATATTTTAAAATATTACTCTTAGATTTTATAATTTTACTTGATTGAGATTTTAATATTTTTTTTATTTGTAAATTTTAGAAGTCTATAAAAATGTAGTGATTTATATATATATTTTTTTAAGATTTATAATTAATATTTTGTAGTTTACATTTTAATAAATTTATTCAATAATAATTTATAAGATTTGAAAACGCTGTATGTATTTATAAAATTTGAAATGATTTCATAAGTTTATAGAAAAAATTTTAAGTTATAAGAATAAATTAAAAAAAATGACTAAAAAAATTTAGATAAAAAAGTAAGACTTAATCCCTGAGATAAATAGTTTTTTTTTCTTCACGCAATTCAAAATGTGAAGCAAGTCTTTTTATTCGATTGTAAAAATTTGAAATTCAACTGATCATGAATTTTCATTTATTTTATTTTGTGAAATAACATGTATAAATGAATTATTCTATCATAAAGTTAAAATTTTTCACTTTTTTTTAATAATTTTTATAGATACTTTTATTGATTAGTAATGGTAATGGGCACTAATTTTGATTTTTTTTAATATAAATCTAAATTTGAGAATTATAGATTTTTTTTATAATTGAATGAATTCTTATAAATTAAATAAATTCAGTATTAAAATATACAAAAAAAAATATTTTATCGATAATAATCCTCTTTTAGACAAATATATTTATTTTATAAAATAATTTTATGTTGGTTGTTAAACAATCAATGTAAAAACATGGATGAATTCAAGGGGCCCTTCCTCCTTTTACTCTTTGAAAGAAAATATAATATTTTTTGTTATTTTAAATATATGATTATGTTAATTAAAAGAGTTAAAATTATATATATTATTGATGAATTTATGAATTAAAGGAATAATATTTATAAGTTAAATAATGATAGACTCATATTTACTTAATTTTGGTTACAAAATCTTGAACAAAGTTAGCTCCTTCATTTAACTTTGCACATTTTTTGTCCTCTTTTGATCCAATTTTTTTGTGCATATATAGCTAATTTTAAAATCATCTGACAATACCCTGATATAACTCCTTTTTGTGTAGATAATGAGTAGAAGAGGTTAGTGTCAAGGATTCCTTAGATTGAGACTTGCTAAAGCTGAAATTGAAGAGCTAAGGAGCTAGAAATGCAATTGGCGTTGGGCTTGGTTCGAGGTAGAGAGCATTATTCTCTGGATACACACTAGCGCTCGCCATGAAACTAAATGACACTGGCGTGAGTCCTCTAACTTGGCTGGCCAACTCGTTTTAAGGCAAAATCATGAGGATTTCCCCTCATTCACACATAGAATGAAGCCTTGAAGCTATGGAAGGGATTCCCAGTGCTTGAGACCGTGTTGTGTGTAGGTTTTTCCTTCGGTTCTTCCATTTTCTCTTCCATCTCTTATTTTGTTTTTTCCCTCGTGGATTTGAGCGGCTAGTCCATTTTTTTGTGGGGTTAGATGTAACCAACTAAAGTCTCTTGTAATCTTTATCCTATTAATGATAAATGTTTATTTCACTCATTGTTATATTGCATTTCTTAATGCTTGCATTGGATTGATCACCCATTGCTTGATATAGGGTCCATTGAGTATTGGAAAATAGCCCTTGAAACTAACTTTGAAACAAAATACTTAGTAAAAAATGTGTCTAGGAATGAAGCTTAACCCATTAGGAGTCTCAAACCCTAGTCACTAATGTAGGTTCATATGTTGGATATTTAAGGGATTGATGTTCAACATATGTTTCAAGGCTCTTTCTCTAAGGGATTAGTTTTGAGTATAATTGTGGGATGACTAAACAATGTATGTAATAAGAGAAGAATTAATTGCATGAGAGTGAAGTTCAGTGAAATTTAACCCTCACAAATCCACAATATCATTTCATATCTTTTTTGCACACAAACTGTTCGACAAAATTATCCTTAGAGTAATTTATGTTATTTTCTTTTATACTTAACACAAATTACAATAGAGAACTATTCTTTAATCAATAATGATTATTAAATGCTTATTTTATCTTATCTAGTCTCCATGAATACGATCTTAGATATATTACTTGTACAACCGGTATACTTGCTATGTTTTGAGTCCATGGTTAGAACATATTTATATTTAATAAGGAGAGAAACTAATCCGAAGTAGAAACCCAACAGATAAATAATGTAATGTATTTAACAATTTCAATTTAATATTTATTTAAATTTATTACTAAAAAAAGTCTCTCTTTAGTTGTGGGTTGGATTTATCCCCAAGTAGAAAGAAAAGTAGTGATTCTTTTTGCAAGTTATGTGAATCCTTTAACATCAATTACATTGAATCAATGTAAAAAATTCCCAAATGTTTAAGCATTAAATCACTTTTACAAGTTCTCAAAACAAATTCAAATTAAACTAAAAGCATGGTAAAGAAACTTTTAAATAAAAAAAAAAAGGTCCTAATAAGCAACATAAACAAAAGGAAAAATAAGTTAGTCCTCAAAATGCCATACTAATCAAAGCCATCTCATCAAACATAAAATTGAAGCTTAAGTTTCGTCTCTTGTAAGCTCAAACTCATCTATCTAATTTGTACCTGAAAATGGTGTTCAACCCATACAAGATAAACAACATAACAAAGAGGAGTAATGTTAGGTCAAAAGACGAATTTTGACTCCTTAGGATTTCAAGTCTTAATGTCAACAAACAAAAATATTTTTCTAGAGAAAAGTTTTACGAATAAAACACTAAGATGAATTAGGCACTAAGATGACTAAGTTATCTAGTCAGACGAAGTATTTAATTTGAAAGACACACATTTTGATTTCATATAATTTATGGTGCCTAATAACCTAATCGCTTGTGTCTATATGGAAAGGAAAAGGAAAAGTTCTGAAGGTTGAATCTGAGTACAATAGCTCAGATGAAAGTTCCGAAAACCCAATAGACGAGAGATAACTATCATGTTCAAGAAGTTTAAAAACTTGTTAAAGAAAATCTATCTAATTTATTTATTACAATAAAAATAAATAATGGATTGAATCTAATCCATTCATTTAATTTTATAGATGGTTAGTGATATTCATTAACTACTTTTTTAAAATCTATTAAATTATAACATGAGATGCTTATTAGATTCAAATTTTAAAAGATTATTTTGACATAATTTTTTTTGTGAATTTTAAAAGATTATAAAAGAATGTAATGACTTATAAAGAAAAGAGAGAAAAATAAAATATTTCAAAAATATAAATTATTTAATTTTTAAAACATTACTTTTAAAACTCTAAATCTTAAACCCTAAACTCTAAATCTATATATAAAAAAAATTGTTAATGGATGGACTAGATAAATTTTTTTTTCTTTAAATTGATTAAATTTTTATGTTAATTTTTAATAAATTTAAATGGATTAATGAATTATTTTTATCTGATCGACTATGATCCAGCTAAAATATTATTGGACCCATATTCATTTGTCACCCCTATTTCGAACGAATCAGATCACATGCGACTATTCTTTGTTCATCAAAATCAATTTATTCAAAAAAGTTGAGGGCATAACTTTTCTTGTCATGAATGTTTTTAAAATTAGACTAGTCATTGAATTGATCTAGACAATGATTTAAGGTCCAAAAGATCTATTATAGTTGAACTACAATCAAATAAGTATTAATAAAATAATAATTTTTTATTATTAATATAAAAATAATATTAAATAAATATAATATTATAACTTTATTATACTAAATATTAAAAATAAAATGTTAATTATAGATTCGTAACATTTAATATATATATAATATTAAATTATATATAATATAATATTTAAATTTAAAAAATATAACAATGTTCACTA